AATTAACTAAATTACATACTGCCCGTGCGATGCACGGGCTTGAAAGCTAGTAAAAACGAAAGTGAGATTTTAGCGGTGTTTGATATTAGTAGTGCAAAAGTATATATGACTATATGAGATGGACTTGTACGTTGTGTAATATTAATGTAGGTCACACAAACATTATATGTCGGGTTTAGGATGTTTTTACTTGGACTGTAATTCGTCCCAGACCAGATCAGACCAGACCAGACCAGACCAGACTTGGATAGTTATAAAAATACAAAGAAACCAGACCAGACCAGACCAGTTCAGACCAGACCAGACCAGATCAGACCAGACTAGACCAGACCAGCAAATTACAGTCCAAGTAAAAACATCCTTACTTCCCTAGAAATGATATTTTTCTAGAATAAGTATCAGAAGTCTTAAATCAATTACTTTTCCATTATTTATTTGTTAAAGTCAAGAAATTAATAACATTATTGATGATCAAGAAGAAGAAAACTATTTTTTTTATCCTTTTACACCTCTTATTAAGAATTATATTATGCAACACTATAATCAGTTTTGAAAATCAATAGTTAAGGAGGTCAACATGCATATATCTACTAAAAGTATGAAAATATTACATAAACAATACTCCTTCCGTTCTCCAATAATGTCTCATAGAGTATTTTTTTTTAGATGTTTTTAAATATTTGCCTCTCTTTCCCCTTTTAATAAATTTTTCCAATCAAAATTTAACATATTTCCTTCCTCAGCTGGATCACTAAGTCGCCCGCGGCATATCATATCATAGCACTATGAAAAGGCAATACTGTTTTTTTACACGCCACATTCCCTTTAAATGTGTTCTCATATTTCACATTCACCCCACACGGCACACCGTTGATCTTTTTATTCCTTTCTAAACATATTTGTTTACCGCCCCCAATCATTTTATAAAAGAAATGTAGAAATTCAATATCTTCAATATTTGGGCCCGGGGTAATGCAAACAGAGTAGGCCTCGGAGATACCGTTTAAATATTTACTATGTATATTAATTTTTGTTATAAAATATATAGTAAAGTTAAACAATTTTGTCATCTAAATAAGAGTATAACACATCAAAGAAATCAATAAAGCAGTTAATTAGGAAAAATTTATTGAATTATTTTATATGTGACATTTGAGGATACAATGTACCTAAACCGACAGAATGAAACCAGTACAAATATTGGTTGCAATAAAGAATTTTGAATTAGGTAAAGACGTGAAAGATATATTGTGCATATACGAAGTAACTTTTTCATATTTTAAAATAAATTGCAAGTTTCTAAATCATGAATACTATAGTTCAATCTTTCACTTAAATAAAAGAATTGGAGAAAATTAGTGAAATACTATCAATGAATCATGAGTATAAATGAGACAAGTAGACCAAAAGAACATTTATGCGCTAAACCATAATGAATCAAAAGAAATGGTGAAGTACGTTCTCAATGAATTCTAATGTGGACATTTTAAAAATGAATTGAAACTATAAAAAATATACCTTTGATTTTATTTTTATAGATTTCTATGTATATATAATTAATATTAATATATATCCATATACACATAATTATGAAATTTATGGGCCTAGTGGAGCAATGGGCCCTGAGCGCATGCTCCTTTGCCCATGCCCCAGAACCGGTTCTGCTCTAATCGATCATGTGAAAAGATCACGGATACGAGTTTAGAGGATGAGATGAATTCCAAAAAAAATATTAAGAATCCGTAATTAAGAACACTGAGTATATATAGGTTCATATTTCCACACTTATTAACAATATGTTTTAGTATGTCATTGTAGAGCCACGAAATAATTGAAGGATTAAACAAGGTGCGGCCCATGATCAAATATAAATTTAGTCGATCCACACTATCAGATAAAGATGAATTAGTCTTACTTAAAATAGGGGCAGTCCAGTACTAATTCTATTGTATTCATATATGAAACTTTTTACGATCAATACATTTACTCTTCCAAATTCGTTATTGGTGTATTGATTTTCTAATTGTTAAATCCATTTCATTTAGTATCACTTCTCTCTCTAGGGTGTTTCGCCGCCAGGGTTTCGTTTCTTCCGCTACCGGCTTCCTCGAGGAGCGGCCACTGTAAGGATTAGAAAATTGAAAGTGTGTAACCTAAAATTGCAGATAGAATAGAAATATCGGGAATCACATATTCTTCATCATAAAAAAAGAAAGTCTATATTGGGAAAGACAAAATGGAACGATTGAAGTTTATTTTGGAACATAAGGAGACATGAATCATCATAAGTAAAATGTGATAGTAATCTACTCAAGGACGGCACTATGCGGACTTGTCCTTTTGAGGGCATCCGGTGAAATTTTTTGATGAAATTGTTTGAGCATGTTTCTCATCAAGTCTAGTTTATGCACACCAAATTTTAGCTCAAATTTCAATCGTGAAGGCAGTTAAATAAATTCTTGAAACATACTGTGCATTATGTACAAATATAAAGCGCAATATGTTTCAAGAATTTATTTAACTGTTTTAGTGTGCATAAACTAAACTTGATGAGAAACATGTTCAAAAAAACATCAAACACTTCCACTGAGAAGTCAAACGAACAAATCCGCACAACTGGTCAGGCGCGCCTGACGAGATCTGTTCTCTCTCTCACTCTCTCTCTCTCTCTAGTTTATATATATATATATAGTCATTCTCCTGTCCAGCACTTTTCTGTCCTAACGTCGTCCGAACACTGTCGTTTGGGGTGGTTCCCGGCGGAATTTTTTGATGAAATTTTATGAGCATGTTCCTCATCAAGTCTAGTTTATCCATACCAAATTTCAGCTCAAAATTCGATAAGGGAGGCAGTAAAATAATTCGTTGAAGTTAACTGCGCCAAATTATACATAGAAAAACGCAGTTAACTTCAACGAATTATTTGACTGCCTTCCCGATCGAATTTTGAGCTGAAATTTGGTATGAATAAACTAGACTGGATGAGGAACATGCTCAAAAAATTGCATCAAAAACTTTCACCGGGAACCGCCCCAAACGGCGGTGTTCGGACGGCGTTCGGACCGGGAGGTGCTGGACCTAAGAATTTTCCTATATACATACATACAAACATACATACATACATACATACATACATACATACATACATACATACATACATACATATATATATATATATATATATATATATATATATAATAAAAACAATAAAGGGCTAAGAAGCATAGAGAAGATAAAGAGAGAAAAGGATCATACGAGATCAATCTGCCACATGAATACTCACTCACCTTCTACTTGTTCTCTCTAAAGTCATACTCTCATTCAATCCAAAACTCCTCTAATACACGTCTAATTGGGTATTCATCTCCATTTTCTCCCCATCTCTTCACATGCTAGTAAATTCATGTAAAAGGTGTATCACTCAATCTTCCAAAAGCGCATTTGATATAGGGACGTAAAAGATGTATATCGTTTGATTTTATTATTAAATGTAAGTTGTAAGGCACTTCTAAAAATATTTGCAGTGTACATGTAAAGTATTTTACATAGGAGGAGGGTGGCAAAATACTTTGCATGCAAATTAAAAATAAATGACGCATATAATCAAACAATGTATTTAACAAATAATCTATTTTACAATTTACATGCAAAGTGCTTCCCTAGACTTTACTTCCAATCATTTCACGTGTAACGAATTTAACATGTAACCTAAAATGGCTAAAAAAGACAAGACACTGGGACATTAAAAAAAGTAAGTAGAACTTGACGGTAGTCGGTAGGGGTGGATTCGGGTCCAGGCCGGGTCCGGGTCGGGCCTAGCCCGGGCGGGCCAGCGGTTCAAGAATGGTGGACCTGGGACCGGACCAGGTAGCCACCGGGTCCGGTCCGGGTCCGGGCCGGGCCTCCGGTTTGGATTTTTTTTTTTTTTTTTTTTTTTTTGCTTTCCTAACCCCCCACCCTCCCAAACCCATCCTACCCATCAAGCCCAACCCGGGTGGAACCCCAAAAATGAAAAAAAAATATATAAAAAATCAATTTGGCCCGGGCCCGGGCCTAACCCGGCCGGGCCGGTTCACCAAAATTGAGACCCGAGAACCGGGCCGGTCCCGGTCCCGCACAGTAGCGGGCCGGGCCGGTCCACGGGCCGGGTGGCCCGACCCGAGTCCAACCATACTCGACGGTAACCCGTGAAATGGTGAGAGGGAAAAAGATTAGTAAAAAAATTAAAAAATTCTGACTAGGTAAATTTTGGACGGTCAAAAAGGTATCCAATAAAATGGTGCAAAGAAAATGAACGTGTCCATCAATAATTAATGAACGAACAAGTACATGTACAAATAAGTAAAATTACAAATAAATACTTATATCACTAATAATTAAGTAAAAACGTAAATGCAATGTCTGCTCTGTACAAATTGTCAAATTGTTAGTTCATTTCACCAAAATTGTACTACGTATGTCACAAGGCTTCAAAATAGCACAATTTGTAGCTCTGTACAAAGAACCAAAAGCACATTACCCCCCAGACTACAAAAGATTTAGCCCTGAACATTGGACAATGTTACCCCGGTTCCAGAGGAGAATAAGCATGCTTTCCTTTTTGACAAATTCCTTTTCTTATTACTTGAACCATACATATCGTATAAAGCATTTCCAGTGATAGTAATGCAGTACCAAAGCAATATTTCATCAGTCTTATTGCAAACCAATTATGCGACGTGAACTCTCAGCTTTAACTAGCAGCTATAAGCCAATCAGTTGCCAGCAGTTCAGTTACTATAACTTGGACCGAGAAAACTTCATCTACCAAGACAGTAAACATGTTCACTTGGATCCCTTTTTGCTAGAGGAGACTACAAAAGATGAATAAAAGAGTATTAAAAGGGACCACATGAAGAGAAGTGTTGTTTATGATTGCCTTTTTTTAATATACATGCTCAATGTGCCAAAATCTCCAAGTGAACCCAAAGGACAAATAGTTATGGATTCTGACTTACCAAGCCATAAACAGTTTGAGCAGAGAAAGCTTTGTTACATCATCAGATCATCCTACTGTGAACAAAACTTCGTAACCATTTTCAACCCTTCAAGTCTTCAAAAAACAGCCAAAAGAGCCAATGAAGAATAGGGGTACATGAAGAGCCATTGCCGAATAAGATATAGTTGGGCCTAAAATTTGCAGTAGCTTAGTTGTAATAGAAAAGTAGGAAAATCAAATTATCAATGCAGTGCTACGGGAGAAGAAAATATCAACGTGATTCCAAAAAAAATACCTGCAGCCATAATAAACAATTTGTGTTTTGCCCACAACGCAATGTAATGCCAACGCATGCATGTCATATTAAGTGAGTACCATAACATTATCATGAGGTTCTTCAACGTGGAAGGGTTCCAAAGATCCCCATGTCTTTCCAACCATCAGTTTGACACGAAGCGGTACTGAAAAATCAGACGTGAAAATCAACTTGAAGAAAAGATAACACTCCCTCCGTATTCTTTTGTTTGCTACTCTCCTTACAAGGAGCATAGCTCACCTAGTAGGAAGAGGGTGCCACAAGGGAGAGGTAATGGGTTCAACTCCAAGTAATGACTTGGGATGAAGCTCCACTCTCTTTCCATCAGAGTGTGATCAAAGCTCAACTCACATTCTCCCAAATAACTGTCCGGTCAGTTCTGGGGCTCTCAAAGATGGGGTGTCATCCTTTTTTTGTTTGCTACTCTCCTTTTTGGAAAGTATTTTAAATTTTTTGAACATTTTTTTCTTTTTGGTAAGTTTTCTATTTAAAAATACTCAATTACCTTTACGTTTTCTACTTCTCATCTTCACTTTCATATTTTTTCAACCTCTCTCCTACTCTTTCTACACGATTCAGTACACTACTATTTTACTCTCAAACTTTGTCAAAGAGGTAATGTAACAAACAAAAGAATACGAAGGTAGTAGCAATGATAGTATGATACTGTTCAAAAATACTCATAATGAATGTAAACACCCCACACAATATAAGCAAAGTAAAAATAAGCGCAGCCCAATGCACATTGGTGACCCCGCAGAGAGATAGTCCACAAAGGTGTATAGGGAGCAAGCTTTCCCTTGTCATTTTTTTGACAAGAAGCTGCTCCCAAGTTTCAACATGTGACCTCTCAGTCACACAGCAACACCGTAACTAGTGCGTCAAGGCTCCCCCTTCACACAAAAATAAAAAATTAAAAGGACTCGTCTATCAGAAAGGGCAAAAGAAAATGATGAAGGGGGGGAAATGAACTTCGGTATAGAAAGAACCATAGAACTGTAACCCCTGCATGTCCGCGCGCCCCAAGTTACTGCTATCCAATACCCCCATTGTTTCATCTGCAGTATAAATTTGCAAGGAATTTGTACCATGGAGTGTGGCTGCATTTTCCATGCTCATACGTAGCAACATTCCAGCTTCCTTGACAACAGGGGGATCAACTTCTAGGACTAATTCATCATGAACCTGGACAAAAAGTAATTTTGAAACAATACGAAGGTAAATCTAAGTCTCTTGAAAAGCTTGTAAAGCTATTGGTTCGAATCATTAACGAACTCATGAAGAGCCGAATCACTCCTAATGATGCCCTGATACTTTTATTTACTTCTTCAACTGTTTTGGATGATAAATGAAATTGAAAAAAACAAGGATTAGCACACTTTAATATGCATAAACTAGGGATGTCATACCAAGCCAATAATTATGATCTCATTCGATATTTAAACAAGATAATATTTGGAGCAGATTTTAATCAATACGTTGTTACTACCTGTAAGACGATTCGACATCTCCCTTTAAGCATGCCAGTGTTTTCAGGCAAACCAGAACTAGATCTAGAGTTAGGAACATCCTTGACCATTGCATAGTGAAGATTTATCATTGCCATTTTGATAATGTCAGCAGCAGATCCCTGAAAAGCAGCATATGCCATTATCAGTGAAAACTGTTTTGAAAGCAATAGAGGAATAATAACTATAATAAGAATTATTAGTATTATTAATACTGCTACTACTGCAGTGCTGTTACAGTACTACTATTATTACTATTATTATTGTTACTACTACTGCTATTATTATACGAGGAAATTGGTATCTGTATCTCAAAATTTGCCACAATTTTTACTTAGAAAATCAAACACTGGGGTAAAGCCTGGGTTGATGCAAAGACAAAGACCCATTTTCCCAAACATCAACAAAAATAATAACTAAGGGATGAAAGGGGAGCAAAACTACCTGACAAATCGAATTAACAGCTTGCCGCTGAGCTTTAGATTTTTCCTTATTGTCCCCAACTTTGATTTTTGACAAGAAACGCTTTCGGCCATTAAGAGTCTCCACATAACTACTCCATGAAATTATAACAAAATATTGTATAAAGATACGACCAAAACAATAGATATATAGCAAGGATTATCTATAAAGCATACAAATTTGACATAGACAAAGTTGAAAACTCGAATCAGCATAAGGAGGTCTACTGAGAGACAACGACAGAGTATATGCTACAATACTGTCAGTTTGAATAAGGTATCTAAACAAGAACAATGGTTTCATTTGTTTAAATCAAATATTCAAAAAGGCCAAAAAAGAACAAATATTCCTACATGCTGGAGAAATGCTTATATCAATGGATAAACTGTCAGTACTATATGTTAGCTAAAAGTGCAATTCTATTAATTCAAATAGAAAAGAGAGAAAATGCAATGATAAATTTGTATTATAAGAATGGTAATGGTGTGGCATTAAGAATCAAGAATCACTTGGTTGTAGTACTGACATGAACTATGACACCAGAACCAATTAGTATGGCAACTCTAGTTCAACTCTGATATAGAAAAAGTACTAATGAACAATGTTCCTAAAAGTTAGAAACCAGTGGCTTCAGCAAGTCTTTTTCGTTTTTCAGTTTCACACTTGTACAAATGATACCATTACTACTTTTTTAGTGTGCAAGGTAATAGCAACAAATTAGCCATTCCATCCTCACCCTTTTTCTTGACAGAAAGAAACTGCTTCTTGTAGCCAGGAAGCAACACCGGGGAAAAACCTTTTGAAGCTTTGAATTTTTTCAAAAGCTTCATCTGTACTGCAGTCCAGTTGCTCTGCAAGAGATTTAGCTCCCATTCCATAGAGAATGCCATAAATCAACCGCTTAGTTTGGTCTCGCTCTTTAGAGCTCACCATAGACTGCACCTTCCCTGTCCACCTCGCTGCAAGCATGGTGAAAACATCACCATTGGGATCACTTAGGAGCTCAATCAAAGAAGAATCTTTCGAGAAATGGGCCATGAGTCTCAATTCAATCTGAGAGTAGTCAGCTGTTAGAAATATCCAGTTCTCCTGAAAATTAGGGGAAAATTGAGGTATATTAAGTGAAAGAAATGGTTGTTTTACAAAAAGTAATAAACCTACAGGTAGTCATTGATTTCAAAAACTAAAAAAGGATACCTGAGTAGGCAGAAATAATTCACGAGCATTGATCTTGTAATGATCAGTATCCGACTCACCATCAGCTTTACCAGTGTGACTCATTTTGAAGTCAATCATATGCTCCACGCACTGTATACCAGAAAGAAAAATTATGGATGCTAGATTAATCTGTGTCTTCAAGAAAATTATTACCCAGCAGTGTAATATAAAGCACAATGTACAACAAAAAGATATGGCAGTAACAAACCTGAAGATTTGGTTCCTCCATTGAAAGTCGTCCAGTACCTGTTGAGGTCTGAAGCCAGTGACCATGCAGCGTGTACCTCTGAGTCCTCATAGATAGCCTAGCAAGTGAGCAAATTGAACCTAATGTACAATTCAAGAGCTTTGCCAGTGTTCTGTGCTCTTTGATGACTGGAATAATTGGATGCTCATTCCTATAAGTGAAGAAGAGTCCAGCACAGGAAGGGAAGGAAATAAGCATCCTTACTGCAATAATGCATCTAGCCCTAACTAGAAGCTTTGCTCAAGTTTTCAAGTGATTATCAAAATTGTACAGATGGTAAGGAAAAAATTATAAAAATATATATCACATGCCCAAAATAAACAGCAAGTCAGCATGAACTTAAAAATTAAAATCTCAGATAAAGTTAGAAAAGATTGGAGTTGACGATTTGGTGAAACAGATCAGCTGAGCAAAAGGGATTTCTTAAATTATCATCATTCAGAGCAAAAGGTTCTGCACATAACATAAACAACAACGCGACATAGAATCACTAGCTTGCAAAAGATGCACATAGGATTCAACATGGACATAAAATCTTCATTTTCATTTAACTGTAAGGAAGAAAAGTATTTTCAATCAACAAAAAATCAAGAGGTTTTTACTCTCCTGGAAAGTGACTTCGCGTCAATGGAAAATACACCATTACTTGTGCAGCAAGGCACTTGATACACTTTATACCTTAGCAAACCCAAACAATGTTTATCAGTGCTGGGGTGCTGCTTCCCTTTGTCATCTCTCTTTGGCATAGGGAGCTTTAAGTGGTTATAAAGAACATTTGCAATATCAGCAGCTGTGCTCAATGAGAAGGTCATGCCAGCCAATGTGTAAGCTTCCATTTCTAAACTTTTTAGCTTTTTTCGCACAACTTCACGATCACGTAAGCATCCTTCCATGTCAACGCCAATTCCCCACAGCTCCATATCTGAAAGAACATCAACCTAAGAAGACAACCGATAAGAAAGACAGAGAAGGAAACTATATTAGTTAAATTTCAATGTGCAAGGAATATCATACTTCCTCCGTACCCTTTTAATTGCAACAGTCAACATTTCACGTTTGCCAACGCACAAGTTTGACCATTAATATCTTTCATTCCCTATTGGTAAAAAAATTTAAAAATTCATATTTGGAAAATTTAGAATGAGAAGAATTTAACAATATTTTTTAAAAATTTAATTTATAATACATTAATTAATAAAATATAGTCAAAGTAGAATATGTGAATAGTGCAAAAAGTCCAACGTTGCAATTAAAAGAGAACGGAGGTAGCATCTTTTACCCAATAATTTATTTTGTAGGGACATCCATGATACATAGAAATAACAGAATTCATGGAGAAACCGAGAAACGGTTACTACAATTTCCATAGTTCTTGAGAAATAGGTTGAATCACTTTATAACAAACTAAAAAAGGTACTTTACTGAACAATTATGTTACTGCAATAATTTATTTTGTAGGGACATCCATGATACATAGAAATAAATGAATTCATGGAAAAACCTAGAAACGGTTACTACAATTTCCATAGTTCTTGAGAAATAGGTTGAATCACTTTATCATTTCATCATTTTCATTTACCCCAGTGCCGCAAAGGCTCCCACCTACGGTGGGGTAAGGGGGGTCGGATGTACGCAGTCGTACCCCTGTACTAAAGCACAGAGAGACTTTTTCCAAATGACCCATAGTGAAAATCGAGTCCAAAATTGCAGGGACTGACGGCTGCTTCATAACAAAGAAGCGCAGACAGTTTAGTGAGGCATTATACTTTATTCCATCATAATCTCAAGCCAAAAAATAGTGAATCTTTGGCTCCATTGCAAATGATGGAAAAGTTGAATCACTTTATAACAAACTAAAAAAAAGGGTACTTTACTGAACAATTGTGTTACTGCAATCGGAAATACTATGATCAATGTTCTAGCAGCGGTACGCCAAGGGCACCTAAGTCCCCTCTTTATTAAAAAATTAAAATGAATAGTATGAATAGTGTAGGAAGAGTAGGAGAGGTGGAAAAGTAAGAATACAGAGGGAGTATTATTAAAGGGTAATGAGTATTTTTAAAGGGAAAAAATGAAAAGGTACAAAAAGTCAGGGTAATTGACTACTACGTAATTTTAAAGGGAAAACTTACCAAAAAGGGAAAGTGTAGCAAAAATTAAAATACACCCGAAAATGAAGTGTAGCAAACAAAGAATGGAGGGAGTGTTATTTATTAGGGATTTTATATCATTTGTAATAAAAAAACTCATATAACTTTTAACGTGTAATACACACACTAAAACTCAAATTAAGATCCTTCTAGTTACGTGCACTAAAATTCCTTAGTTACACAAGTTGTGTCCAGTTGAGATTTCTGCAAGGTTGTTAAATATGCAAACTGATATAAATATGGCAGAAAGCAGTCAAAGCACAATGATTGATCAAGTTGACAACAATCAATCTTCAATTGCCAATGGTTTGAATAAAACCGAAAACACTTTTAGATAAATGAGGAACGCTTGTGGTATAGTTGTGGCAACTCAAACGAATAATTAATTTGACCAATTGCACCCTTGTGGCACTGCTATGAATTAAAACATAACAAGAAAAAATGCAGCCTGCAGATATCTACAATGAACTAAACTTTATTGTTTTACATGGAAATGTGTAACTTGAGATATAGTACAAGTTTCCTCAAAGAATACTCATTAGCCTACTACGCAGTTGACATGGAAGAAAGCATTTAAGCATAACAATAAATTAGGACCCAAAGAGTCAGGAGCAAAGAGAACTGGAAGATTAAGAAAGAACGGTTGCACTCAGTATGTGCCATTTAAGAGAAAACAGAAATTAACTCATTATGAACAAAATCACTTGATGGAAGAAATAATCATTCCATATCTTTTTCTTGGTACCCAAGGAATTGTGATGGGAGAGGGAACCAAACTATTACTTTAGCATCAACAGTATAATTGTAAGTTTTTTAATTCCTTTCCGAACATCATCCTTTCCCACAATGTACAATTTCAATGATTTAAACATAGATTAACAGTTTATACTATAAAATTTTAAAGATATAAATCAGAAAAAAGTTGAGCTGTGACATATGTTTTGACGTAATCCTTATTTTTGGAGGGGAAACCCCATGAAAAATAATCAGAATTTCATCACAATATCCCAAATGTGCTTAAAACAGTAAGCAACTAAATTTCAGCTAGCAATCAGAAAGCTTTGTGATCATGCACGGGGTATTAATTATGACACCAAGATCAAGATGCAGGTCAATTTACCAATGGCATCTCCATCTCTGTGAGAGCCTTAAGAAGACCTTCAGATATTAATAGTTTCCACAGAACCGAACACAAGGCATATGTTTGTGCAACTCGGCGGCAACAACCATTATGAGCAGCACTGCGCATCTGGTTCTTCCATCTACCATTCTGATTAGCAGCTGCAGCTGCCTCACTCGATAGCCTTTTCTTAACCTCCTGTATATAATTAAGACCAAAGAGATCACTTATAAGGAACAATCAAAAGAAATATGGAAGAACAGTGTGTGATCATATGTTTGTCGTGTGGGGTCCATTACTTTGCAAAGCATGCAAGTTTTTTAGGTTTGAAACTATAGGATGATAGAGTGACCATTTTATGTTGCTAAATGGCTGCTGTATCCAAAGACTGTCTCATTTCTCGTTCCCTTCAAGGGACTTTGAAGTTTTATTTTCCATAAAAGATGACTACACATGGAATATCATGGAGATTCCTACCAGAACTGGGGTCCTCAGTATATCCACTCCAGATAATAGGAGCAGGGAGCATCATCTGGATACATGATACTGAGGGGTGATGGTACACAATTGTGGAGGTTCCTTTTTATGCATGCTAAAGGTAAACAATCCAGTCACACAGCAGTGACGTTTACCTTCTCTAGACTGGGACTAGATCCCTTCACCTCATCAGGCCAAAGAATCCATGCAACAATGCAAATATCAACTGCATCTTGCAAATGAACAGGGGACAAAACATAGTAAGAACCTTCAATTAGATTCAAGCCCACAGCTTTGGCAGCAGCATTCACAGAGCCAGATCTCACAGTGGAAACAGCTGGGAACTTAAACACCTGAATCTGCTTTTTCAAGTTCCAAGTGAACTTTTTAACACCGTTTTTCCCCATTATAGTTCTTATTCTATCCCAACGTTGCATCGCCATTTCCCATTGATGTTTTGGAGATGGAGCATCATTATAGCCGGAAGCATTGGACATCAGAAGATTTCTTCGGTTGTTTGACCAAAACAAATCTTTGGGAAAACTGACATAATACACTGGAGAGTTTTGCCAACAGATTGCTATGCCATGAATTTCAAAAGGCACAATGGTGTTCAGTTCAGATCGCTTATTAAAGTGGATATCAAAATAGAAGTCTCTAGCAGCATCCCAGAGATTCAAGAAAGTATCAAATCCTCCAGGACTACTAACTGCATTAATCGGGCCCTTCTTTGGTGAATTCTTCTCATTTGTTTTACTTATCCCATCTTTGTCATGCAGCTTCTGCACAATATGACCAACATCATCGTTGGACTTCCCTTCATCATTATTGATCTCAAGAGGAAGAGTGGTTGTTTTAATTTCAGCATTGCCACTTCTATACCCTTCTGCGAGTAAAATAGGTTCATCAGCCATAACATCATATTGTATAGAAAATCTCCCTATTGATTTATCTTCTCCTGTTTCTGAAATAAAACCACTTACCTTATCAATCCCTATATTGCATTGAACATCATAATACAAATGGCTACAATTATTATATACTACGTATATAATATGATAATATCCACTATACTTAGTCATATACATACTCTAGGGTTAAGGTCCATTAAAATTAAGGTCAGGATTAACTTGGGATCATCTGACATTACAGTCCATCATGGAATTGCTTATACTTATATTCATAACTTGTATACATAATCTAGTATTACGACCATAATACTTGGGGGGGTGGCTCGTGTTATTTCAGATTACCTGGCTAATGTGAGCTTGGTAATGTTATATTACCTCAGTTGGTTTAAGTTATCATATTGTCAATCATATTATCGCCACCAGTAGGCAAATGGGGTAATGCTGTAATTCTATTACCTTATGTAGTTATGTTTCTTAGTGTATTGTTGGAATACTTCCTAAAAATAAATAAATACTTTTTGAATGTAACTTTACATTCTCACCATATGAACCAAACATACAAGGTAATCTTATATCTTAAAGGAAACCAAATGCCCTGCAGGTTAGCTTAGGGCTAACAGGTATGCCGTATGCCTCACCTTCCTTGCCTGATGTGGAAGTGGCACGGTTTATCTGCTCCGTATGCACATAACTGCTAGTCGACTTTTCTCCAGAAGAGGTGCTTGATTCTTTCCGATCAGCATCTGCTGCAGCAATTGGTAGGAGAGGTAGAGAAAGAGGTGGGACATCAAGTCCAAGTGATTTGAAAGCTGAGAATGCAGCAAGTCTTGCCTCTTCAGCTTTCTCAAGAACAATCTTGCGGGCACCATTTTTTATTTTTTTGGCAACTCCTAATTGTATTCTTCGTTGTGCAAGTCCTTTGAATGTGAAGGCAATTCAGGTTAGATATCACTAGTTGAAAGTAATTTAAAAGAATGGACAATTGAGAAAAAATCAACTAAAAAGTATCCTACAAAGACTACCTTGTTCAGACCATGATGAAGATTCAAAAAGTGCTTTCACAATTTCAGGAAGCGATGCTTCTGCTATTGCTTGAGGAGTCCGCAAACCAGATTTGTAAAGTGCTCTAGCCCGGGAACCCTTGTAACCAGATTTGTCCGCAAACCATATTTCATTATTTAATTTATTTATATGCAAGGTAGGAATTCTAAAAACTGCATTACCTTAACATAAGGTATGTTAGTGAGCTCCACAATCTCTGCTCTGACTCCAAATGAAACACGATTTTGGAATTTGGAAACTAAGCCTTCAAGGTCCTGCCAACCTAGTCTTTCGCAAAAGACAGCCACCATCGATGCAAACCTCCCACCGTTTTCCTGTAGTCCCTGAACCATGCCCCTTGTCACTTTGAAAGCATTGCATACCTCTGGAACAGGTACTTCCTTCATTCCAACATAACAGTGTTTAGGCATAAAAATTATGAGACAATAAGCTAGTAACAAATTCATCTCATCCTCATGTGTTGAAGAAACTGAAATGTAGAAAGTAATGCTCAGACCAAGATATTACACCTGTACAAGTCTTGTTAGTATGAGAGCCACAAAGAACCGTTTAGACACTCGCAGAACTTGTTCACCTGAAAGGATGGCATGATTTGAAATCCCAGATCTGCAGTCAAGTTTTACCTGCAATCCCTTATTAGCCTCCCGAGATCTGTTAAAGCTGTGACCTGGAACAGCTCCATGAGCCATGCGCATCAAAAACGGTTCTTGAACCCCAACTCGATTGCCAACCGACTGTGCATCATAAATACAGGAAAGGATATAATAATCAACCAATATGATATAAATATCAATATCTTCTTAAACTAGCGCATGATATTAATCCAAAAAGTTTATGAATACCTTCTTAAGTGTTAACTGTTAAGTAGAACATTATAATAAAGCACAAAACCAGTATATGAAATAAACATTCAGCTACAAGAAACTTTGAGTTTCTACAAGTCCAATGCTGAGTAGTAATTAAGACTGATTTCTTGGGAGTAACCAGGGTGATTACTTGACCTTGTATTGGTAAACATTAAAAAATATATGCTACGAATTTCTGAATTATTAGATTTGTGATTCTTAATATATACTCCCTCCGTCCCAATTTCTTTTGCAAAATTTCCTTTTTTAGCTGTCCCAAAATGAATTTCCACTTTCCATTTTAAGTATAAAAATACAACTAAAGTGACATGTTTGCCCTCCTTACTCTTTTAATCTTCCGCACCACCATCATCATTTCCACCCCACCTTCTCTTATCACCCTACTATCACCCATCACATCCACCCACTTTCTCTCTCAAATTCCAATATGAAGCACAACCATCTTTGTGAATGGAGTCTCAATCCTTCTCCATCGCCAGACTCCTTTTAAAGAAGACAGGCAAACGAAGGGTGCACCGACTTAGGAGAAAAATCAATGCCTAACTTTCCTTCATTTTGTCCCATCAGCTCCGGCTCCACCTAAAAATCCTTAGATCCGACATGTTTCGTTGATCCAGTTTCTAGTAGATGAGTTGCCGCCGCCCTCGAAGAAATTCACGGATAAATCACCACCGCCCTTGTCGAAATAAATATGAACGCCGTGGGTAAAACTATTGAAGCTGCGGATACCGGCCATTCGGTTGGAAACTTGACATATCTGTCAAAGAAGGTGGAGATGCTCTTGGACAAAGACAGGATGCCAACGACTGCCCTGTTTCACTTTTTTCCAATAAGCCATGTAGAAGGACGAACAGTAATGCACATCTGACAAAAGTTGTACTTGATTTGAAAATTTTAGTTTTACAATTTATTGGTTTGTTCGTAGGGTTTGTTCTCTTCGCCGTGTGAGGGAGGGTAAAATGGGAAAACAAATACTAATTTCTATTCTTTCTTAATCCGTGTGCCGGTCAAACTTTGCAATTCAAATCGGGACGGAGGGAGTATATCATATGTGTGTGTGAGTACCAAAAGCAAAAAAAATCAATAATCCACAATAACTAGCATAACAAATACAACAACAACATTCAAGCCTTGTTCCCAAAAGATTTTGGGGTCAGCTAACATGAATCAATTCATGATATTAGAGCCAACTAGAGAAGAAGATAAAAAATAATAATAAGACAAGGCAAGATAAAATGGATAGGATAAAGATAAATATAAGATAAAACTAACATAAGAACATAAGAAAGATAAAAGATAAAAAGATAAAAGAACATAAGAAAGATAAAAGATAGAAATAACATAAGAACATCGAAAGATAAAGAAGATAAAGGATAAAAGAAAAGAGGGAGAGAAAGGAGAAAAAATAGATCAATCGTCCACACGAATATGCGTCCTCCACTTTGCTCTCTCCAAAGTCATACTGTCATCCAAGTATATAACCCGTTCTGATTCCTCTAATTCAAGTCTGTTTGGGTCTTCCTCTCCCTCTCCTCCCTGCCTCTTTTCCCCACCACTCAACTCATCTAAGAGGTGCATAACTCGGTCTTCTACGCACATGATCAAAAAATCGCAATTGAGACTCCTGCATCTTATCTTCTATAGGTGCTACTCACACCTTTTGTTCAATTATTTCATTTCTCAAACAGTTTTTCCTGGTATGTTCACACATCTAACGCAACATACGCATCTCTGTCACATTCATCTTTTGAATGTGACATTGTTTCATTGCCCAACATTCAACGTCATACATTAATGCAGGCATAATTGTTGTCCAATAAAATTTACCCTTTAGTCTAGTAGTCATACCTCAATCACAGAGAAATCTTGATGTATTATTCCATTTCATCCACTCTGCTCTGATTCTATTGAATATATCTCCATCTAATTCACCATCCTTCTAAATTATGGAGCTCATGTAACGGCACATATCACACACTTGTATTTCCTTGCCATCAAGGGTAATCCCATTGTTACTACTACTTCTACCTCCACCAAACTTGCACTCCATACACTCGATCTTACTTCAACTGATATGTAACAGAAAAATAAAATCAACGGGGTAAACCGTTGCCCAGATAATCAACGATAAAAATACCGTTGCCCAAAGCCAAAAGGCTAAAATCTAATTTTATTCCCGGATAATAAGAATGAACCCTGGCGAGGGGTATAAATAGCCTTGTACAAGAAACCCTAATCAAGCCCATATTAATTAAACCCTAATTAAGCCCAAATTAACTCAACTAACTACTCTACTAATAATAGGCCCAAACTAAAACATAACATTAACTTAATAATAATAATTAAACTATGACGACAGCAGTAACTCGGTCCACGAAAGTGAGCCCAAGCCCGGTCCCGTCCCATGCTCTTCCCGCTCTCTATCAATCCATCCTCCTTCAAAATAACCTTGTCCTCAAGGTTGAAATTCCCAGACATAGAATAGACTGGAAAATATCCTTCCTCTCTTTCCTGAACTCTTTCCTAGCCGGTAATTTCACAGTACTCATGCCGTTGGAGGTCTAACTCTTCCTCCTCCTCGGCTATCATTGCCCGCAGCTGCTTAAATGGACAGTCGTGCCCCGGTGTAAATGGTTTCTTACACCTAAAGCATAATCCTTTCGCCCTCAATTCTGCGAACTCCTTTGGCGGAAGACGAGTGAACTGAGAGCGTGTCGTAGGCTGCCCGGACAGCCCTGACTTCTTCCCCGGAGGCTGACCACTATCCTTCGCAAAGCTGCCCCTTGATCCCTGCAAGCTGCCACCACTGGCAGTTGTCACGGACTTATTCTCGAACCCGTGCGGCACTAGCAACACTCACTCAAACTATGCTAGTCAGCCTAACTCTTGCGGAAACTAGGACACCGATAGTGGAGAAACTTGTATAAAGGCTTTATTGCTCTCAAGCTTTCGATGATACAAATGAGCCAGCCATGAGGGGTATTTATACTTATCCTCCTCCTCAATGGACGGCTTAGATCTTCTTGATCTAACGGCTACAATTGAATTCTAGAGTATTCTATACAACTCTATGAGATTCTAGAGTATTCTACTCTATTCTATACAAGTGTACACTTATCTACATGAGTCTAGAAGGTTCTCTTAGCCTCCAGGATTCTGCCCCTCTCTCTTAGGCATCTCTAGACTCCATCTCGCCTCCAGGTCTCAGTATGCCGCGGCCTATGCCCCTTAATGCCGCGGCGTTCAGGAGAGTCGTGACATTCTCCCCCACTCAATCTCACGACGTCCTCGTCGTGGTCTTCCTGTAAGCCTCTATCAAACCCTTGTAGTTCCACAAGGTTAACTCGTGTTCCCAACTTGCCTCGCTGTCCGGAGCATCCTTCCACTTGATGAAGTACTCCACGTAGCTCGGATGTGCGCCTCTCCTCGGAATGACTCTATGAGCCAATATCTCTCCAACCTCGCGCTCGGGAACCTTTGTTATAGCTGTCGGTGCTCTCTTCGAAATGCCCCTACTCGGATCCTCCTTATCTTCCTTGTAGGGCTTAAGCAAGCTCACGTGAAACACCGGATAAATCTCCAAGTGTGAGGGTAATGTCAAGCGATAAGCAAGCTTACCAACCCGCTTCTCTATGGGAAACGGACCCTCATATCGCCGCACCAACCCCTTGTGCAGCTTGGCAAACGTATGCTTCTGGTGGGAAAGGAGCTTTACTAGTACTAAGTCTCCTTCCTCAAACTCCAAGTCTCTCCTCTTAGCGTCGGCCCACTTCTTCATCTTCTTCGAAGCCTTAGCTAAGTATGCCCTCGCCATGTCGGCCTTCTCATGCCATCCCTTGGCAAATTTGAACGCGGATGGACTCGGACCTCGATATCCCACGGCCAAAGAGTGCGGAGTAGCCGGCTGCTGTCCCGTGGCAATCTCGAACGGACTTGCCCCCGTCGACTCACTCCTTTGCAAATTGTATGAGAATTGAGCTATGTCAAGCAACTTTGCCCAATCCCGCTGGTTTGCACTCACGTAATGCCTTAAGTACAGCTCCAACAAGGCATTAACCCTCTCGGTTTGGCCGTCGGTTTGGGGGTGAAAGCTCGTAGAGAAGTTAAGCTCGGACCCCATTATCTTGAACAGCTCCATCCAAAACTTCCCGGTAAAACGGGTATCTCGGTCGCTTACGATGGTCTTCGGTATGCCCCAATACTTTACCACATGCTTGAAGAATAAGCGTGCGGCATCTTCAGCGGTGAACTTCGTAGGGACAGGTATGAACACTCCATACTTACTAAACCGATCCACCACGACCATGATGTTCCCACACCCCTCGGACTTAGGCAAACATGTGATGAAGTCCATAGATATGCTCTCCCACGGCTTCTCTGGTGTGGGCAACGGCTCCAGCAACCCTGCTGGCTGTTGTTGATCCACCTTGTCTTGTTGGCACACAAGACAAGTATTCACATACAACTCCACCTCTTCCTTCATTTGGGGCCAATAGTACGCACGTTCTATCAGTGCCATCGTGCGTCTAATTCCGGGATGTCCAGCCCATCTCGAATCATGGCATTCCTTGATGATCTCTTTCCTCAATCCTTGCCACTTCGGCACATAGATCCGATCTCCCTTGGTCATGAGCAACCCCTCTCTAAGCCAAAACTGGCGTGTCTTCCCTCGACTTGCCAACTCCATAGATTGATTTAGGTTGCGAGTTGACAGCTTTCAACCAACCATGGTCTTCAACATAGGGGATGCCCAATCTCTTTGCCTCCTTAACTTCTAAGAAGTTGTGAGAAGCACCAGTGTCAACAAGGGCTTTAGTAGTTTGTCCACGTACCTTAGCTTCCACGAACAAACGCCCCTTCTTCTCCGT